TTTAAAATTTATTAGTAGAATTATTTTTTAAAAATTGGGTTTTTTATGGATTGTTTTAAAATAGCTCTCCTGGCTTGCCTATGAAGGAAGTAAAGAAGAATGAAAGTGGAAAACAGACATTAAAAGCATCTGTGACTTCACATGTATTTGAGAAGTCTGCCTCACTGGCTGGTGGTCTCCTACACATGAATGACAACAGCAGTTTAAGTGAAGGAGATCTAGGTCATGGCAGGGAAAATCTACAAATCCTTTATTTCTAGGTGAAGACATATTGGCAGTGATTACCTTCTCTGGAAATAGAACAGCATCATATAGTGCAAAGGCCTAGGCAAGGGATTTCTCAACTATCAGAGGAACACTGCCGAAAGGTTAAGATGAGGACAAGTGCCTTTGATCAGAAGTAGTTTCAATAATATGTCCCCATGGAAGCCAGGCTGCAGTGAATCGGTCCAAACAGCCCCTTAGAGAACATTCACTGGGAAGGCAGGAGAGGACTGGGTGATAACTGAAGGGGGATGTGGGGCTCGTGGGGGTTCCCTTTCTTTTTTTTTTTTAATGATAAGATGGTAGTTTGCAGAGCATGTCTCTATGCTGTTTTGGCTATTGTAAATAGTGCTGCTATGAACATTGGGGTGCAGGTGTCATTTTGAAGTAGGGTTCCTTCTGGATATATGCCCCAGAAATTATTATTTATAACTACACTTAGACATAGAATAATAATAGAGATTCATTTACTATATTAGTTAAAAATACTTAAAAATAAATATTACTTTCTCAGCATATTGTGAAATGCAAGAATTGAAGCCAGATTGCCTGGATTGGAATTCTGGGCAGACACAGGGGCTTCGGCAAGTGATTTAGACTTTCTGGGCCTCATTTTCTTCCTGGGTCAAGTACCTACTGTATTACCTACTTCCCAGGATTGTTGAGAGGATTAAAACGTCTTTAAGACATGTAAAGTGCTGATAATAATGCATAGCTGTTGCATACTAAGTCCTCGAGAAAGCTAATTTCATGATTATTAGAAAAGGGTTTCTTTCCTATAAGGACTTAAGTAATACTTTCCAAATAGCTTTTAGTGCCTTAAATACCAGTTTTTATTGAAAATGACAACAACAAGAAAATCCTGCTATGTTTTTTCCTATCAAATAATGCA